CATGTGCATGCAAGCCAAAATCCTAAGAGGAGAATGGAGGAGAAGGGATTGCAGCCTGGCCATTCCCCAGGGAGGAGTGATTTCTCATTTTTCCCTTCTGTCTCTCTCTGTGGCAAACGCGTGTGCCCTATAGCAAAACCTACAATAAAGTTAACATGATAGCTCAGTAAAGTCAAACAACACAGAAAAGCAGAACATAAAGTAGAAACTTAAAGTCTGAATCTCCATTAGCAGTTTCAGAACATAACTTTATAGAATACATATATAAAATTATGTATGTGGGGGGGGGTCTTCAAAAAGTTCATGGAAAATGCATATTGTGAAAAAACTGTATATGAGGCCAGCAGGTGGCATGGAGTTTAGGGCAGCTGGATCCTAGAGGGTCAACTCCATGGTTCAAGTCCTGGGCCCAGTGGCCTGAAAATCATGCTGGGCATATGCATGCCCAAAATCCTGAGAGGAGAATGGAGGAGAAAGGGATTGTAGCATGGTCATCCCTTCTTTTTTTATTTTTATGGAGAGGTTTTTGTTATGGGGCATATGCACTCGCCAGAAAGATAGAGACAGAGAGACAGAAAGCAAAAAATCACCCCCCAGGGGCAATGGCCACACTGTAATCCCTTCTCCATTTTCCTCTTGGGATCTTGGGCATGCATGCACACACGCCTGGTGTGAGTTTAAGCCACTGGGTCCAGGACTCGAACCATAGTAGACTACATGGGAGTCCAGCGATTTAGCCATTATTCCATCTGCTGGTCCCCGACATGGTCATCCCTTCTAAGGGTTGATTTCTCACTTTTCTTCCCTCTCTCCCTCTCTCTCTCTGGCAGGTAGATGTGTCCTATAGCAAAAACTAAAGAAAGAAAAAGAAACACTATGCATAGACTGATTTTAAAAGTCTTTTGTACAAAGTAAACTTGCACTTTAATTCAACTTTTCATGAACTTTTTTAAAATCTTAGGTATTTTCCCCCTTTTCTTTTTAAAGAGATTTTTGCTATAGGGCATGTGTGCTCACCAGAGACACAGGGGAGACAGAGAGAGTGAGAAATCATCCCTAGAGGGAATGGCCATGCCACAATCTCTGCTCCTTTATTCTCCTCTAAGGATTTGGGGCATGCATGTACACACTCCTGGTATGAGTTTCATGCTCCTAGGTCTGGGACTCAAACCACATTTGGCCATGTGGGAGTCCAGTGCCTTAACCACTACCCACTACACCACCTGCTGGCCCCGCCTCCTCCATTACACATTTTTAAATTCTGTTTATTTCTTTGTAAACCTATTTTTCCCTTTGAAATTATATGCTCTCTTACCTTTTTTAATAACTGCATACTATTCCATAGCATGTATCATACTTTAACCTTATTTACTTAATTTAACTTTATTTAACCTATTCCAAGTTGACATAAGTTCTTTTTCAGTTTTTAGAAATTACTAACAATTGGAATTTGGTTTGTTGCTAGCTAAATCCCGCTCTCTCTCAGGCAAGTAGCAACACAATGGCATTGGAACCTTTGAGGAATGATCAGATGAGATCTGATAGATTTAACAACCTGGCCTACAGAGAGTTCTCTACAGATGAAAGAAAAAGAATGCTATGAAAACTCTGCCACATAATCTAGGAGGTTATATTCTTTTATGCCAAAGGGAGGCCAAGATTCAGCCTAACTCCTGCTCACCTTTCTACCCCCCATCTCTTAGCCTCACCACCAACTCTGCAGTCCAGTCAAATGACACTACTTGCAGTATATGGGACCAGAAAATGGCATAATGGTTACATTTCTGGACCCCCATGTGGTTGACCACGGTTTGAGTCCCAGGCCTGTTGGATTTGTGGAATTGCTTTCTGTCTCTCTGTCTTTCCGGTGAGCACATGTGCCCTATAGCAAAACCTCTCCAAAACAAACAAAACAAAACAAAACAAAACAAAACAAAACAAAACAAAACAAAAAACTACTTGCAGTATATTTCTTGCTCCTGACCCTGGGCCTGATTGAAACAGTTTCTTCTTCCAGTTCCTGCTGCTTAGTTCCTTCCTGCTTCTGCTTTGCTAATTCTTACTTCTGGACTTAGCTCAGGTTTCAGTTTTTCTGAATATCCTACCTTATCCCCAAACCTGGAAGAGGAACTTCTGTTCTGGACTCCTATAACACCCTTTACTTACTGCCATGGTAGCACTCGACACTGTAATTATCTGCTTACTATCTATTTGTTCATAAACACTACCCAGGCAAGAACTACATTTTTCTCATCATTGTAGCTCATAGTGGTAGAGAGTAGCAGGTGCTTAGCAAATACATAAATAACTGCAACTGAGGATTGAGGGATCTGACCTGGTCTGAGCAATCTTCTTCGGGAAGACATTCTTGGAGAAGTGACTGAAAAATCTAAAGGATATGTTCAAATTAACTATAGCAGGGGGAAAAAGCATTCTAAGTAGAAAGTCACAGCTATGTGCATAACTGGGAGGGTACATGGGAATTCTGAAGACCTTAAAGATGGCCATGTAACTGAAGGAGGAATAGCATGTATGGTTACACTAGGAGATGGACAAGTGGGCAGGAACCACTCTGAGATGCTAAGGATTCTTCTTGTAAAAGCAATAAGAATCAGCACTGGCAGATGGCATGGTGGTTAAGACGTTGGACTCCCATGTGGCTGACTACAGTTTGAGTCCTGGACCTAGTGGCTTGCTTTCTCATTCCCCTCTGCCCCTGTCAAATTGTAAAAATAATAAGTAAAATTAAATAAAATTCTTAAAAAAAAAAGCAATAAGAATACCCCAAGTGGGCTGGCAGATGGAGTGGTGGTTAAGGTGGCTGGATTCCCACACAACTGACCATGGTTTGAGTCTCAGCTCTGGCAGCTTGGTTTCTCACTTTCCTCCTCTCTGTGTCTCTCTCTGGTAAACGAAAAAAATAAAATAATGGCAATGAGTAAAATTGTTATTATTATTTTTTTTTGGAGAGGTTTTTGCTATAGGGCATGTGTGCTCTCCAGAAAGACAGAGATGGAGAAACACAAAGCAAGAAATCACCCCCCAGGAGAGATGGCCACGCAGCAATCCCCTCTCCTCAATTCTCCTCTTGGGATGTTGGGCACACACACTGGGTCCAGGACTTGAACAGTGGTTGACTACATAGGAGTCCAGCAACATAGCTAATACGCCATCTGCTAGTCCCGAAAATTAAATAAAATAATTGTTTTTTTAAAAAAGAATCTTAAAAGTTTATGTTTAAATAAGAGTTGGGTGGGGAGAGTTAATTTTGTCAGATTTGTATTTTGAAGGACTACTCTATAGTATGCAAAATGGATCAGAGGAGGCAGAAAGGATGGGATGGTAGGTAGGACTAGATATTTAGGGGGGAGCCAGCAGGTGGCATGGTGGTTAGGGTGCTGGACTCCCACATGGCAGATTGCAATTTAAGTCCCACACCTAGTGGCTTGCTTTCTCACTTTCTCTCTCTCTCTCTCTCTCTGGTGAGTGCATGTACCCTATAGGAAATTAAAATTAATTCTTTTAAAAATTATATTTAGGAAGTAAACCAGCAATGCTTCATAAAGGATGGGAAATGGAATAGGTATTAAGGATAACTCTTGGGGTTTGGCTTATGTATATTGTGGAAAAGTAGGAAGCGATTCAGACTTGGAGGAGAGGATTCACGTACAGAGATTATGAGTTCAGTTTCAGAAAAGTTGAGTTTGGGTTGCCGTTAGGATATCCTGAAGGGCATGTCAAAGAGGCAATTGGCTATGTAGATCTGGAGCCTAGAGATGAGGGCTGGGCTGGAGATACACACTTGTGAATATTTGCTTATAGGTAGTATATGAAGTTGGACAAGAGTACCTAAGACGAGAATATAGAGTGAAGTGGGAAGTGGGCATGGACCAAACATAGACCTTTTTAATAGTACGTGGGCCAATCATGGCCAGCTAGATGCCAGCCAGAAGACAGCTAGTCATGGCAGCTTCAGAGAACTGGATGCTGTGTTAGCCAGACTGTTTCCTGTTTAGGTAAATGTGTTTGATTCACATTCTAATGCCCTTTCCCCATTAAACCTATTTTAGGGAAGGACTTGAAACTCATTCAGGCCGCAGGGTAAATAACCCAAAGTAGGCCACACTGGTTCCTCTTCCCTGGGGCAGTTTAGCCTTTTCCTTAGAACAAGTCCCTAAGCTTTAGACTAAGGCAATAGACTCAAGCTAGAGACTTGGCTGGAAGGGAACTGGGGTCTGTTTCTAGCGCAGTCACTGATTTGATGTGTGGTCTTGGGCAAGTCACTTCTCTCTGGGTTTTGGTTTTCCAATCTGTAAAATAGGGGTACATATCTTTGACTCAGAGCTGGTGTAAGTATCAACAGAGAGACTGGAAATGCTGGGTAAGTTATTAAATGTAACAGATCAGTTGTGCAGACTGTGAAGGGAAGAGAGCTGTAACTAAAGCCTCCAGAAGCAGACGATGGAGCAGGTGTAGGGACAAGAGGTACTTTGGGGACAGTACCCTTAAGAGTATGTGTGGGAGGATCCTGCCGACTCTCTGAGAAGGTTCTTCCTGCTGGAAAAGGAAGGAATGGAGCACTTAAGCCCCATAAAATTTCCTACATCTCCGGAATTAGGGACCAGGATTTACTTCATCTAGCTTACTCCCACGTGTTTAGGAGAGTCTCAGTTCCTCAGAGAAAAATCAACCCAACGTCTGAGGACGTTTCAGATCGAGGCTGTGCCTGGGACTTGAGGCATCGGTATTTGGGGGGTCCTAGATTTGCTATAGGGGAGGTTCTTAATCAGCACCTCGCGCAAGGTGTAGGTTTGTGTCTCGGCCTGGCCTTCCCCTCACAACCTCCCTCAGCCCCTCTCTACCCAATGTGGGTGCTGGGTCTTGTTCACCGGGCAAAGAGTGACGTCTGGGGGTTGGCGGAGGTTCTCAGTCTTTCTGTGGTGTTCTCCCTCTCCATAAAGCTCTTACAGGAGGTTTTCCTGTTTCCCTGCCCAACTCACCCACAGTCGCTTCCCCTCCAGACTCGGCGTTCCACTACCTGAGGGTTACCCAGCGCAACTCCATGGCAACTGCTGTCGTCACCACGTCCTGGCTGATGTCGTAAGCGCTGCCGCGATGCCTAATGGGATTAGGAGTCTCCTAGAGGAGGAGTCACAAAGCCGCGAGGGCTTCTGGGATTCGTAGTTTCTTTCGTCCTCCGGGCCTGACCGTCGGCCGGAAGTAATGACACCCCTTTTCCCCGCCCAGTGGCCCTCACACTTCCTTTTCCCGGGTCCTCAAGCGAGCCCTGCGTACGACAGCAGCCGACAAGGGCCAATCAGAGGGCGGTGCAAGGGGGCGGGGCCGTAGTTTAAACTAATTGTGCGCTCCCAGGGCTGGCGCGAGCCCGCGGCGAGGGCGGTCGGGGAGAGCGCGAGGCGCAGCGGGAGCGCGCGGCCAGGTAACCGGCGCGGGCCTGTGGCTGGCGTGCGGCCTGGACGCCCTGAGGGATGCCCGGGCCTAAAGGGGGTGCTGAGGAGGCCAGTGCAGGCGAAGGCCTGCTTCGTAGCGGAGTCTGAAGGGGCGCGTATGTGGCCGTGAGGTCTGCGGGGGAGGAGCCGAGGGTGCCTAAGTGGGAGGGTCTGTTTGGGGGCGTGTCCGTGGGCGTCTGGCCGAGGGAGCTAGGGTGGGGGGTGGTGCAAGTTCCGGAGGTTTGTGAGCGAGAGAACCTGTGATGGAACACCCTCGCCTGTTACTCCCAGCTGCAGGAGTGGAGAGAGTAGACGCTCCTGAGCACCGACTACGTACGTTTTGGGCACTGTGCTATACCGCGTATAAGGAGCGTCTTTTTAATCTTCCTCTAACAGTCTTGCTGGACCGAATTATAGAGCGGGACTTCGGTTACTGTTTAACTTGGCTAGGGTTACGTAGTGCGAGGTTGGCTTTACTTGGGGTTTTAACGGTTGGGCATCAATGAGGACGAG